ATGATTATGTGTCTGGGGTTGCTTTTCTCGAGGAGTATCTTTGTGGTGTTCCCTGTATTTCCTGAATTTGAATGTTGGCCTGTCTTGCTAGGTTGGGGAAGTTCTCCTGGATAATATCCTAAAGAGTGTTTTCTAACTTGGTTCCATTCTCCCCATCACTTTCAGGTACACCAATCAAATATAGATTTGGTCTTTTCACATAATCTCATATTTCTTAGAGGTTTTGTTTGTTCCTTTTCATTCTTTTTTCTCTAATCTTGTCTCCTTGCTTTCATTAAGTTGATCTTCAATCACCAGTATTCTTTTTTCTGCTTGATCGATTCAGCTATTGATACTTGTGTATGCTTCACAAAGTTATTGTGCTGTATTTTTCAGCTCCATCAAGTCATTTATGTTCTTCTTTAAACTGGTTATTCTAGTTAGCAATTCCTCCAACCTTTTTTCAAGCTGCCTAGCTTCCTTGCATTGGGTTAGAACATGCTCCTTTAGCTTGGAGCAGTTTGTTATTACCGGCCTTCTGAAGCCTACTTCTGTCAATTCATCAAACTCATTCTCTCCAGTTTTGTTCCCTTGCTGGCAAGGAGTTGTGATCCTTTGGAGGAGAAGAAGTGTTCTGGTTTTTGGAATTTTCAGCCTTTTTGTGCTGGTTTTTCCTCGTCTTCATGGATGTATCTACTTTTGGTCTTTGATGTTGGTAACCTTCGGATGGGGTTTCTGTGTGGATGTTCTTTTTGTTGATGTTGATGCTGTTCCTTTCTGTTTGTTAGTTTTCCTTCTAACAGGCCCCTCTGCTGCAGGTCTGCTGGAGTTTGCTGGAGGTCCACTCCAGACCCTGTTTTCCTGGGTATCACCAGTGGAGGCTACAGAAAGGCAAAGATTGCTGCCTGTTCCTTCCCCTGGAAGCTTCATCCCAGAGGGGCACCCACCAGATGCCAGCCGGAGCTCTCCTGTATGAGGTGTCTGTCGACCCCTGCTGGGCGGTGTCTCACAGTCAGGAAGCATAGGGGTCAGGGACCCACTTGCAGAGGCAGTCTTTCCCTTAGCAGAGCTTGAGCACTATGCTGGGAAATCCGCTGCTCTCTTCAGAGTCAGCAGGCAGGAATATTGAAGTTTGCTGAAGCTGTGCCCACAGCTGCCCCTTCCACCAGGTGCTCTGTCCCAGGGAGATGGGAGTTTTATCTATAAGCCCCTGACTAGGGCTGCTGCCTTTCTTTCAGAGATGCCCTGCCCAGAGAGGAAGAATCTAGAGAGGCAGTCTGGCTTTGCAGAGCTGCGGTGTGCTCCGCCCAGTTTGAACTTCCTGGCGGCTTTGTTTACACTGTGAGGGGAAAACCACTTACTCAAGCCTCAGTAATGGCGGATGCCCCTCCCCCCACCAAGCTCAAGTGTCCCAGGTTGACTTCAGACTGCTGTGCTGGCAGCGAGAATTTCAAGCCAGTGGATCTCAGCTTGCTGGGCTCTGTGGGGGTGGCATCCACTGAGCTAGACCACTCGGCTCCCTGGCTTCAGCCCCCTTCCCAGGGGAGTGAATGGTTCTGTCTCACTGGCATTCCAGGTGCCACTGGAGTATGAAAAAAAAAAAAAAAAACTCCTGCAGCTAGCTCAGTGTCTGCCCAAACAGCCACCCAGTTTTGTGCTTGAAACCCAGGGCCCTAGTGGCGTAGGCACCTGAGGGAATCTCCTGTTCTGTGGGTTGTGAAGAGCATGGGAAAAGTATAGTATCTGGGCTGGAGTGCACCTCCCTCAAGGCACAGTCTCTCACAGTCCCTTGGCTAGGGAAGGAAGTTCCCCAACCCCTTGCACTTTCCAGGTGAGGCAATGCCCCTCCCTGCCTCGGCTCGCCTCCTTGGGCTGCGCCCACTGTCTAACCAGTCCCAATGAGATGAGCTGGGTACCTCAGTTGGAAATACAGAAATCACCCACTTTCTGCATTGATTTCTCTAGGAGCTACAGACTGGAGCTATTCCTATTCAGCCATCTTGCCAGTCACCTTTTTGAGATTTTTTTTTATGTTTAAATCTTTGCTCCATGTAGCATTTACTTTGGCATAAATATGTCTTCAATAGAGAAGTTTTACTTTCTTTAATGAAATCTATGTATCTTTTCTTTTATGATTTCTGGCTTAGATATTCTGGTTTGTTTCTCAGAATGAAATTTCTTGGGAACAACGTGAGGAGTGGCCTGGAGTAGGACACACCCAGGTGGCTGGCAAGAAATCCCTCTGAAGAAGTCTCTCTCAGGGAAGGTCCATAATTTTTCATTACAGTTCAGCTCAGTCAACATCTACTAAGAACCTACTCTGTTCCAGAGACTGTGTTAAGTGCCAGGGGCACAGAGATGAGGAACATCTCTGCTTACAAGTGGGAGTGACAAATTTAGAAACAGAATGACAACACAGTGTGGTAGGTGCAATGAGCAAAAGGCGTAAGGATCAATGAGCACACATAAGGGCGACTATCCAAGCTGGAAGGGAAAAGCCTATCTGAGAAGGCCTCCTGGAGGAGATGAAGCCTGAGCCGAGTTTGTTTTTCCCATTCGAATAACTAGAATATTAGAATAAGACAATTCAGAAATCATCTTCCAATTCAAATAACTCTTACTGTGTAACTTCATTTTGTTTATATGACACAATGCACAGCATATTACCTGCTAAGACACACACTTTCAATATCATTGAAAAGACAGAACTGGGACAGGAAGCTGCCTTAATCAACAACAGAATATACCTCCCAGACCAAGGGCAAGAGGTCTCCAGGGTAGGGACAACCTGGTGCACAGCAATTATGAGAGAAGACTCAAGTGGAACCCTAATTTCCCCACGCAGCTAAAAGCGGTTTACTGTTTCTGAAACTCAATCTAGAAGGCAGGGAACTTTAAGATAGGAGACTGGTTGCCTTCTATGACAGTCAGGGTCAGATTGTAAAGGGCCTTATGCTTTATGTAAAGAATGGGACATGAGAAACACTGAGGTGTTGTAAGTTGGGGAGTGTCTGATCTGACAAAAGAACTTGGAAATCATCAGCATGAGATGAGATTGCCCAGGGATATCAGGTTGCAGAGGATTTAACCTTTGCGGATCCTTGATCCCTTTGGGACGTGATAAAAGCTATGGATGCTCTTTCCAGAAAACTGAACATATTGAAAACCACACCAACATATACACAATTTCAGGGAATCCTCAGATTAAGAATTTTTGATATATAGAGGACTGAGAAGTAGCCTGAGGAAGTGGATATTCAAGGGATGGGAAGAAGATAAAGGGAGCAGGAAAAGGGCCAAAGAAAGATGACCCAAGAGGTACGGGAAGAGCCAGGACACAAGTGTTGGGAAGCTGTGGGAGCGCAAAGATCCAAGGAGGACATGATCAGCAGTGTTGAATGCTGAGAGACTTCAGCTAAGGTCAGCACTGAAACATGTCTTTTGCACTTACAGTTAAGAAATCACAGCCGAGAGAGGTGGCTCACATCTGTAATCCCAGCACTTTGGGAGGCCAAGGTGAGAGGACAACTTGAGCCCAGGAGTTTGAGAACAGTCTGGGCAACAAAGTGAGATGCCATCTCTATAAAAATTTTAAAAATTAGCTGGGTGTGGTTGTGTACGCCATAGTCCCAGCTACTTGGAAGGTTGAGGCAGGATGATTGCTTGAGTCCAGAAGTTCAAGTTTGCAGTGAGTTATAATCACGCCACTGCACTCCAGCCTGGGTGAAAGAGCGAGACCCCATCTCTAAAAATAAAAAGAAAGAAAGAAAAATCATTGGTAATGGTATCGAGAAAAGTCTCTGCAGAGTAACTAGTAATGGTAGCTCCAGATATATATTTTTTAACCCGAGAATTATATAGGTGGCATCTAGGTGGAAGTAAGGGTAGGGGACTTGTCTTGACCCTGCATTTGCAGAGCACTAACACGTCAAATAATTGCCAATTGTCCAGAAAAAGTATTGAAGGGGCTTATGGAGATTGTGTCTGTTTGTCCCTGTTGCCACCACTATGATGGAGTCAAAAGCCAGAAAGCAACAGTTGAAGGAATGATGTGAGGAAATGGAGAAGTTTGGTTTGTTGGGTAGGAGAGACCTAAAGGGCAGTTAAAATAAGGGACAAAAACAAGACAGGGATTTGTCTCCAAGAAGTGGACACATCCTGATATTTCTATGCTATACTTTAAGAAAAAGAGGGGAAAACAGAGAGGTTCAAGACACAGAGAGAAGTGGCTGAAGGGCCAAACATCCAGGAAGAGAGTCTGGACTTGAAGAGGAGGAGGGCCCCCCACCTGGAAGTGCAAGGTGAGGAGGCCTGTGGCTGTGTATAATTTCCTCTAAGTATGAATTGAAGTAGATCAGCCCCAATGGCCTCTATTTTCCCCATAACATAAGAGGTGAGGTTGACTGCTGAGAGAAAAGATGGGAGTTGTGTGGAGGACTGGAGGATAATCCCTATCTTTTAGAATCCCTAATGAGAGATGGATGGGAGAGGAAGCTGAACAAGGACAAATTAAAGAACAGCTCAGCAGGCTGGTGATGGAGCAGTGTCAGTCATGCTCCCAACAGGAAGCAGATGGCACATTCAAGTGCTGTAACTGAGGAGCATGTCCGAAAGGGAATATTCATCAAGCTGTGAACAGGAAACTTGTAAAGGACAGTGAAACACCCTGGAACTAGCAAGAGTGGGGAGCCTTTCCCACCCCCAGACCTCAGGGGAAAGGGGAGGGAGGAGATCCCAGATCCAGAGGAATGGGTATAATTTAGGAGAGGGCTGCCACATTGGAACTCATACGGCACAGATGCTGACATTATCTGAAGCCAGGCAGCCTTCTCTCTCTCCGAGTTCTGGTGACTGTTCCATCCCCTTGTCCCAGTCCCAGGGGATTCTGCTATTACTTGTGGTTTCACTATACTCTTTCTATACTTTTATAAATATCTCTTTACTAGATTATCCAGTTTTAGTACACCATCTATTTCCTGAAGGAAACCTGACATATATGGTTCTTTTAAAAGACTAATAAAACAGACAAACTCTGGAAAGAAGAACAAAGGAGGAGATGAATAATATTAGGAATAAAAAGGGAGACAAAGGGTCGGACGCAGTGACTCACGCCTGTAATTCTAGCACTCCGGGAGGCCAAGGCAGGTGGATCACTTGAAGCCAGGAGTTGGAGACCTGCCTGCCCAACATGGCGAAAGCCCATCTCTACTAAAAAAAAAATACAAAAATTGGCCAGGCATGGTGGTATGCACCTGTAATCTCAGCTGCTTTGGAGGCTGAGGCAGGAGAATTGCTTGAACACAGGAGGTGGAGGTTGCAGTGAGCTGAGACTGTGCCACTGCACTCCAGCCTGGGTGACAGGCAAGACTCTGTCTCAAAATAAGTAAATAAAAGGGGGTAGGAAAGACAAAGTATAGTTATAGCATGGATTTTTAAATACTCTTATACTATGAACAACTTTATGCCAACAACTTTGAAAATTTACAAGAAATGGACACATGGACAAATTCCTAGAAGATATATAACTTAAAACTCAAGAAGAAATTGAAAGCCAGACTAGCTCTACTGCTGTTAAATAACCTGAAACAATGGATTTAAAAATCTCCCCATAAAAGTGTTTTATGCAGCAAATTTAAATATTTCTAATGTCATTTTTTTTCTTTAAGAAAAATTGTTTAATAGAGACGGAGTCTTCCTATGTTGCCCAGGCTTGTCTTGAACTCCTGGGCTCAAATGATCCTCCTGCCTCAGCTTCCCAAAGTGCTGGGATTACAGGTATGAGTCACTCTAATGTCTTTTTAAAATCTGATCCAACAATCCTGTGTACCTGTGTGTACTTCTTATTCTAGAAGAAGCTCTAAGAGGCTGTGGGAAGCATCTGCTTTATTCATTGTGTACCCCAAACCTAGCATAGGCTTGGCTTAAACTTAACATAATTAAATGATGGCAGGAAAGTTAGAACATCTAGAGGATCAGTAGACATATGAGATAAGGGCAGGGGACCTTCATAAAAAACAGTAGGTCCCAAGTGAAACTCCGAACAGCCAGGGCAGGGCTGTGATCTTAAAGACTGAGCCCTAATCCACCTGCTTTGGTACTAGTCAATACCAGAAGTCCCTTCAGAATGAAAATCTTCATGCAACAAGTTTCTCCTTAAGATCTATCTCTAAAACAACCTGATGAATCACCTCTAGAACACTGAAATTCACCTTTGGTCCTTTGGTTAATAGTGCCAAAGTACGTTATTAGGAAGTTCCTGAGAGAAACAGCTGAATAACATTACCAAAAAGGCCAGAACCTGGCCGGGTGTGGTGGCTCGTGCCTGTAATCCCAGCACTTTGGAAGGCCAAGGCAGGTGGATTACTTGAGGTCAGGAGTTTGAGACAAGCCTGGCCAACATGGCAAAGTGCTGTTTCTACTGAAAAAAAAATATATATTCAAAAATTAGCTGGGTATGGTAGTGGCTGCCTATAATCCCAGCTACTTGGGAGGCTGAGGCAGGAGAATCTCTTGAACCCGGGAGATGGAGGCTGCCCAGATCATGCCACTGCACTCTAGCCTGGGTGACAGAGTGAGATGCTATCTCACAAAAAAAAAAAAAAAAAAAAAGGTCAGAACCCAATTCAGATATATGAGAAGTTTTTCAGTAACTTTCAAGCTACTTATATTTGTTCCCCCACCCATATCGTTTATGACCTGCAGTAAAACTTCTGAAACAAATATTTTCCTTTAAAGGCACCGAGAATCATGATCTTATCACGATGACAAGAGGATCCTAACTTTCATTTTTGATGTAGGGAAATTAACTTACTTTTTATTTTTATTCAGAAGTTCTACAAAGTCATGTGGGTTTCAGCTGGACACAGGATGTGGGCACAGAACCAAGGGTTAGATGAGGCTTGGGAGGGTGTTGAGTTTTGCCTACCAGGAGCAGCTATGGTTCTGTTTTTGTTGTTGTTGATTTGTTTTTACTCCTGAGCTTCTGGACCAGTTTGCCATTAGAGCAGCCAAGAAGATATAAGATTGTGTATCTCGTGCAAAAGTGTTTTTACCGTGAAGATCTGGCTTCCAAATTCACAGGGGTCTCTCATCAGTCCGAGCTGAGTAGCTGACTTAAGCTCACATGACCCGGTGAAGAGCAAGCATCATCAGGTGGACTTGAGGGCTTCAAGTACGCTGCCCTGAAGCACCAGGAACTTGGTTGCTAGGCATCCTCCCCAGGATCTACCCAGGACTTTCCTATCCAAGTTTGTTGAAGCAAAACCGAGGGATTAAATGAAATGCAACCTAACAAAGTACCAATGAAGGGTGTGGAAAACAGGGATCCTCTTTTTAAATATCTGCCCCCAAATATCAATCCCAATAAACTATACTAAAAACCATGGATGGCTAAAATGCAATTTATGTCTTTTCTCTGTTCAAGGATTTTTTAAATCATTAAACTATGTTCTCATATTTCCATCAGGCCCCAAAGGTTGGAGGATGCTGGCCCTTTAATGGGTAAGCAGGGGAGGAGCTGGGACTTTTAAAGGCAGGAGCAGCAAACAGGTCCTGGCCCAGGCTGCTATGAATAACTTAAACAGAAAGGGCAGCAACAGTCAGATGGTGGGTATCATCGGCAGCAAGGCATCACCACACTCGGACGGTGACTGGTGATGTCCGTTGGGAAGTACTTCTCTTCCTTCTCCTAGCCTGTCCCTCATTTCTGTCCCTTTGTGGGACAGCTCCCTAGAGCTGAGCTGGGAGGGTGGGGGTTTATGGCAGTCTGAGACCCCAGGGTCTCTCTCCTCAAGACCATGGCCAAGAATTCTCTAACCATCTTGCTGGGAGGATTCCATGGCTGTTTTAGGGTGCCATATCATCCTTACTGACGATGGTGCCTCTTGGCCTCTTTCTTGTCTCAGGTTTACCTTCCAGAGGCTGGCAATGCTCTTTCACTGGAGGACACAGCCAAGAAGGAAGTCCACCAGCCTGCCAAGATGAAATGCCTTGAAGGTATCAACAAGTGGGCCGTGGTGTTATATAAATGCCCCAGCATGCAGAGCTTGCTGGTCTGTTTCACGTATGGGCTTGGATGGCCAGAGTCACCGGAAGTCATTCCCAATTCTTCCACTTGCTAATTATATTACAGTGGGTGACTGAGAGGTCATTCTTCTGGGCTTTATTTTTCTCACCAACCTAGCAAAATTATCCATAACAACCCAGGACAGCCTCATATGACTATTAAATGAACATATGCACGTAAAGTATATGGCACACAGTAGGGTTAAATTGCAGTGAGTCGGGGCAGCTGGAACTTGTTCAAAGAGGCAACAGAAAGGGCGTTGGGTGGGGCAGAGCAGATGGAAAAGGCTGTGCTAGAACTTAAGCAATTGAAGAGGTGATGTGAAAGTGAAGGTGTTTGGTATCTGCCAGGTTCCTTTTGTTTGCTTTTTAAATTGTTATTTAGAGACAGGGTCTCACTGTGTTGCCCAGGCTGATCTCAAACTCCTGGGCCCAAATGATCTTCCCACCTTGGCCTCCCAAGTACCTGGGACTACAGGCACAAGCCACCACACCTGGCTCAGGTTTCATTTGACTTACTAGGGGATGGTTCAGGGGAACTTGGGAGAGGGGAGGCTGAGTTAAACCCACAGGACAGGAGGCATTATGTTCAAAGGTGGTGCTGGAAATGGCTTAAGAACAGAAGTGCTATTGAGTAGTAGCCTCTCTAGAGAAGACTCACACCTGAGCCCCCATTTTACCTTCTCCTCTGGCCCACACTTAAACCAAGGGCCAGGTAAGACCTGTGGCCCTTTGGCTCCTGAGGAGGAGCTGGTGTCTGCCTGCCACTTGGAAAAAGAAGAAAAGAATGAAGGGGAGGAGGAGGAAGAGGAGGAGGAGGAGGAGGATCTGGACCCAGACCTGGAGGAGGAAGAGGAGGAAGAGAATGATCTTGGGGATCCAGCTGTACTTGGTGCTGTCCATAACACCCAGGTACCATGGCAGGAGGGAATGGGAGAGGGTTGTCCTGAACTGTCTGTGGCTCACAGGCTGTCACTAAACATTCCTCTTCTCTTTTCCACCCTTTTTCAAGGCAAGTTCTGGATTAACACTTCGTTTTTAAGCCTTGAACCTGAACTAGGGACTCTCTTCTTCCCTCTTTCTCCTGTCTTCCACTTCATTTCTGATGCTGTTCCTGCCTTAAAACCAGGTCCTAGCAGAGCTGTGCATCGCCCACAGGCGGTGGCCCTGCTACTAGTGTTAAAGGTGAGTCATCTTTGCCTGATCCTGGGCCTCTGTCTCACTAGTCCATTCCTGGTATTTGTTCCCTTGGATCCCATAACTAGTGGAGAAGGACAAGGACTCCCATGTAGATATGAGGTGAATCAGACCTTCCTTCAACCTACTACTAAGATACAGTAGTCCATGGTTTCACTTTCTGCCATTTCAGTTACCCTTGGTCAACTATAGTCTGAAAATAGGCGAGTATAGTACAATAAGGTATTTAAAAAGACTATATTCACATAAGTTTTATCACAGTATATCGTTATAACTGTTCTATTTGTATTGTTCATTTCTTATTGAATCTAATTCATAAATTAAACTGGCCAGGTGCAGTGGCTCATGTCTGTAATCCCAGCACTTTGAGAGGATTGCTTGAGGCCAGGAGTTCCAGACCAGCCTGGGCAACAAAGCAAGACCCTGTCGCTACCAAAAAAAAAAAAAATTCAAAAATTAGCCAGATATGGTAGTACATGCCTGTAGTCCCAGCTACTTAGGAGTCTGAAGCAGGAGGCAGGCTTGAGCTCAGGAGTTTGAGCCTGCAGTGAGCTATGATAGTGCCACTGCACTCCAGTCTGGGTGTCAGAGCAAGACCCTGACTCTAAAAAAAAAAATTTTTAAATATGAACTATCATAGGTGTGTATATATAAGAAAAAGCACTACACAGGGTTTAGTACTATCCAGTTTCAGGCATCCCTTGGGGGTCTTGGAACGTATCTCTCTTGAATAAGGGAGGACCACTGCAGTAGTCTTATTCCTCCCAGGAGAGGGAGAGGGATCCTGGCCCAGTTGACTTTGAACCTGAGGGATGGCCAAGTTGCCACTGCCCTGGATGTTGGAATAGCTGGTCTTGCTGCCTCCGTCCACCTCCTCAAAAACACAGGTGAATGTAGAAGACACTACAGAGGCCCATTCAAGCCTGGTTCCTCCCTCCTGTTCCAGAGAACTCTGCTCAGCTCCCCTGGAGTCAAGGCCCCTGGTGTGCTGGGAATGTCACTTGCCTCCTTGCATTTTCTGTGGCAGGTGAGTCTACTGCAGCCTTCATACTGTGCATAGTGAGGATTCCATCCATTATGTTCAATCTGGCCCCAACCCTGGTCTGGAGTTAAGGCACCCAAAGTGAGGTATGGGTATGGGAGGTGGGAGTTGCCCCTGCATAAAGGAGCTTGATAAATGACAGAGGTGGTGTGCCCAACCATGGGCATGGATAGACACCTTCATATGTGGTACTAGGACAACTGGTCATGTGTATGAACAAGGACAAACTACTCCTGCCTTAGGCAATCTTTCAGTAGATGGCCAGCCCTTAGCTGGAAAGAGCACCTGCCCTTCAATTAACTGTGTAATGGGAACATGGCCTGGGGTAGAGGAATTCAAGAATGATGATATCCTGCAGGGAGAACTAGAAAGAATTAGAGTTTTGAGGAGGGCTTCAAGTGAGTCAGAAAAAGACAGATGAGTACTGCCCCAGCGGCTGAAAACAGCCCAAGAGAAGGCTATCATAGAGAGGAGAGTGAGAGGTGTTGACTTTCCAAATAGTAGGAAAAGCACATGACCCCACATTGTCAGGGAATAAAGAGCTGCTTCCTAGTCAAGCCCTGTTGAAATAAGGGTAGGGCTGGGTGTGGTGGCTCACGCCTGTAATCCCAGCACTTTGGGAGGCTGAGGCGGGTGGATCACAAGGTCAGGAGATCGAGACCATCCTGGCTAACATGGTGAAACACCGTCTCTACTAAAAATACAAAAAAAAATAAAAATAAAAATAAAAAGCCAGGCTTGGTGGTATATGCCTGTAATCCCAGCTACTCAGGAGGCTGAGGCAGGAGAATGGCGTGAACCCAGGGGGCGGAGCTTGCAGTGAGCAGAGATCATGCCACTGAAGTCCAGCCTGGGCGACACAGTGAGACGCTGTCTCAGAAAAAAAAAAAAAAAAAAGGAAAAGGAAAGAAAAGAAACAAGGGCAGGAACCACAGTCTGGTGCCCTCAAAGCTGCCTTGAGGGACTCACAAGATGGCACAATGTTGGGTGAAGTTCTTGAGGGGAAAAGGCAGGAAAGGAACTGAGCCCTCACAACAACAGCAGCATTCTTTTGGTGGAGATGGCGTTCTCCCAGACCTCTTAATTCCTCTCTCAGACCTTGGACTACCTGTCGCCCATCCCTTTCTGGCCTACATTTCCCAGCACCAGCTCTCCAGCACGGCACTTTGGACCTCGGCTGCCCTCACCAGACCCAACTCTTTTCTGCAGCCTGCTGACCTCATGGCCCCCTAGGTTCAGGTACTGATTTGAGGTTCTCAGGAGGTGCTGGCTGAGGAGGGGTGGGGACCGTGCCTACCAGTTGCCACAGGAAAACAGAAATCTAGTAAGAGAAGTCTGAGGTATAGTGTAATTCCTTCTCCCTCACAAATGTAGCCCAAGGAAGATTAAAAACTTATTTAAAGCCGGGTGCTGTGGCTCACGCCTGTAATCCTAGCACTCTGGAAGGCCGCGGTGGGAGGATCACTTGAGGCCAGGAGTTCAAGACCAGCCTGGACAACATGGTGAAACCCTGTCTACTAAAAATATAAAAATGAGCTGGGCATGGTGGCGGGAGCCTGTAATCCCAGCTACTTGGGAGGCTGAGGCAGGAGAATTGCTTGAACCCAGGAGCCAGAGGTTGCAGTGAGCTGAGACTGTGCCACTGCACTCCAGCCTGGATGACAGAGGGAGACTGTCTCAAAAAAAATTAAAAATAAAAATTTATTTGCAATCAGCTAGCATGATGGAACTGCCACTAGGATTCAGAACTCCTGATGACCAGGCCAAAAGGTTTTCTACTCTGCCAAGATTTCCTGCAGCCAAATTGCAGGAAAATAGATGTTGAAGGAGCTTGGGAGCCCTATGGGTCTAGGACTATGATGTGCCATGTGGCCGACTTTGGGAAAGTACCTAAAGATGAGGTTCCTTAGATGTTCACCTTAGCTGACCTGCGCTGAATGAATGGAGGGGGCAGAGAACTGAGAGCTTCCTTTCACCCAGCTCAAGTTACTTCTTGTCTTCCCAGTCATCTGACCCAGCTCCACCCTCAGCACCAACGGATCTTGCAGCAGCAGCAGCACAGTCAAACACCAAGGTACAGCCCAGACCAGGAGCAGGGTTGAGGGGAACCCATCTGCATGCTGGGTCTCCCCTTGTGACCAGTCGTCTCCCTCAAAGCTCCCATTTGGTGGTTAAAACTCTCATACTGTTGCCCACCTCTGTGCTTGCTCCATCCTTCCCAGAGAGCCCCACTTCCTGCTCACCACACTCCTTAGGAAGTGGCAGTGGTGGGTAAATCTAAAGGGTTGTTCTTCCTGGCTTAAAGTCCCCCAGCCAAGAAGCCTTGGTCTCAGCAGCCAGACCCCTATGCTAACCTCATGACCAGAAAAGAGAAGGACTGGGTGATAAAAGTGCAGATGGTGCAACTGCAGAGTATAAACCCCCGCCTGGATGATTACTACTACCAGGTGAGCCCCGCAGTACTCAGCCCTGCCTCTGACCTTGGGTCAAACGGGCCTGGACTCCCGGGCCCTCTCTGATCCTCTCTTCTGCTCATAGAGTTCATGTCTGTTCAGGTGGGAGAGAGAATCACTACAGGATGGGGGCCATATTTCTAAAATTGACATCCCAAGCTCATTTCTCTCTCTCCTCCTACGTTTCAGCCAACTGATTATTTCCAGTTCCCCAAACACATTTAGGTTTTGTCTCCACTCTTTGCTAAGAATTTTCCCTGTTCACCCAGGAAATATGGACTTTCCCACCTTTGTATGCTTAGAAATGTCTTGTTATATTCATCCACTTTCACTTTTTAGATCTAAAGCACAGGGATGTTACAAATAGTGGGATTCAGTTTGTTTAACTGAACAAACAACAGCAGACATTTTCACTCATTTTCCCCTGCTTCCTTCTGCCTTGATTTATGGGGCAAGTCTTTGTCCACAAGTTTCTGGGTTGTCTAGGCTATTGTGGGTTTTTGTTTCGTTTGTTTTTGAAACAGAGTCTCCCACTGTCATCCAGGCTGGAGTGCAGTGGCACAGTCTCAGCTCATTGCCACCTCCACCTCCAGGGTTCAGGTGATTCTCCTGCCTCAGCCTCCCAAGTAGCTGGGATTACAGGCATGCACCACCATACGCAGCTAATTTTTTTATTTTTAGTAGAGACGGGGTTTCACCATGTTGGCCAGGCTGGTCTTGAACTTCTGACCTCAAGTGATCCACCCACCTCAGCCTCCCAAAGTGCTGAGATTACAGGTGTGAACAACTGAGCAACTGCGCCCGGCTAGCTGTTTCACTTTCACTTCAACATCTGTGAGCCTCCCATCCAGGGCCCCATCCTTATTCCCTTCTCATTTACATTGGGTATTTTTCCTTTCTTTCCACCAAGCTTCAAAAGCCCTCCGTTTTCTGCAAGGGTCACTGAAAGTGAAATAGTTTTGTACTCTCACCTTTTTGGCATTGCTTCTAAACAAAAGAGCCTTTTTCAAATCCTTGTTTGGCTTGTCAGTGGATTTTAGTTTAGGATTTCTCAACTTTAAGAAAATGTCAGAGCTGCTGAGTGAATCCACAGAAGTATAAAACTGGCCTAGAGGGCAACCGACAAACACATCCCTATGGCTAGTTCTGTTCTTCAACCTCTGGATGGCCCTCATATCATCAGATAACTGATTTTTAGAAAGCACAGGTGAGGTCACAAGATAAAATGGGGAAGTGGGGAGGACAGGTGGTATGCAGTGTGTGTGTACTAGGGCATGAGGAATGCAGGAAGGTTACAGACGCTGGAACAGGTTTGCTCACTGGCTCTCCACTTTGCTCTCTGCCCTTTCATCAGACTTGGTGGTGGTACCTAGTCTTTAAGTATTTGGTATGTGAATTCCAAGATGGGTGATGTGGGGCCCAGGGTGCTTAAGACACTTTAGAATAACTGCAAGGAGGGCCTAAGGTATCAGCATCATTTCTGGAATGATTGTTGTAGGAAAGAGTGTTAAGAGGCTGTGCTTGTCTGGGCACAGTGGCTCGCCCCGTAATCCCAGCACTTTGGGAGGCCAAGGCGGGCTGATTGCTTGAGTCCAGGAGTTCAAGACCAGCCTGGGCAACATGGTGAAATCCTATCTCTACAAAAATACAAAAATTAGCCAGGCATGGTAGCACGCGCCTGTGGCCCCAGCTACTGAGGAGGCTGAAGTGGGAGGATCACTTGAGCCAGGGAGGTTGCAGTGAGCCAGAGATTGTGCCACTGCACTCCAGCTGGGTGACAGAGGGAAACCCTGTGTCAAACAACAAAACTTATAACACACACACACAAAAAAAAACTTAAGAGGCTGCACTTGAGAAACTTAATTCTAAGGTCAAAAGATGAATATAGAGTTTTGTTTTTTTGTTTCCTATTCCATGCATTCTCAGGAATATTACCAGAAGCTAGAGAAGAAGCAGGTAGACGAAGAGCTGCTCGGACGAAGAAACCAGGTTGAGTCCCTCAAGCTGGTAACGCCTTACATTCAGAAGGCAGAGGCTTATGAGTCCGGTAGGGTCAGGGCTGGCCTGCTGGCTTGGGCTGGGCATCTGAGTGGACAGAGCATGGGAAGAGGGAGGGAAATGTGCCTCTCTTCTCATGCAGTAGTCCGAATCGAGGGTTCCCTGGGCCAGGTAGCTGTGTCGACGTGCTTCAGCCCTCGCCGAGCCATTGATGCTGTACCCCATGGAACTCAAGAGCAGGTGGGAGCATTATCTTCCCAGACCTTTTTCTCTCCCCTTTGGAAGGTTTCTAGCCTTTCCAGCTCAATCTCTAGCTAGTCAGGGGCCTGGGCTGGGGCTGTGGCAGTGGCAGTATAGCTGATAGCTGGCGACTCTCTTCTCCTAGGATATAGAAGCTGCAAGCAGTCAGAGGCTTCGGGTGTTATACCGGATTGAGAAGGTGAGTATCAGTTCTTTAGGGACGAGTTCTGAACCTACCTTTGAGAATGAGATAGTACCCAAATTTACCTCTTTTTCCACCCTCAAATTCCCAGATGTTCCTTCAGTTACTAGAAATAGAGGAGGGCTGGAAGTATAGGCCTCCACAGCCCTGCTTTTCTGAGCAGCAAAGCAACCAGGTTGAGAAGCTCTTCCAGACCTTAAAGACCCAGGAGCAGAACAACCTGGAGTAAGTGTGGGAGGGTTCCACCTCAGCCCAGGTAGGGAAGGAGCAGCAAAGACACTGGTCTTGCTTCTGCCTCTGCTTTCTGGCATGTATCCCTCTCCTCGATGCAGAGTTCTGAAAATGTTCCCCTCTCTCCCTTGTAGGGAGGCAGCAGATGGCTTCCTGCAGGTGCTCTCTGTGAGGAAGGGGAAGGCCCTGGTGGCCCGGCTGCTCCCCTTCCTGGCCCAGGATCAGGCTATTACCATTCTTTTGGCTATCACCCACCATCTGCCCCTCCTGGTCCGGAGGGATGTGGCTGATCAGGTACTGTGGCATTGAGTGGAGAAGAGGATGGTCTCCTGAATAGGTTAGGGGTCATATCTCCCCTCCAGTCCCCACATGCCCCAGAGATGCCAGAGAAGGTGCTGGGCGCAGTGAGGGATGCTGGCCTTGCCACCCTCGGGCAAGAAAGTTACAGAACTATTACAGGAACAGTGGATCATCTTTAGGTACAACAAACAAAAAGCAACAGGTATATGGTCGCACAGGTGTCAGTGTGCTGAGGAGGTCTGAGTAAAAGATTAGGACGCCCTGATAAATGTTGAGCCCCTATCTACTTTTCTTAGAGAAGGCATCCTAGGACGAGTAGGTACTGAAGGTGTTAGTGTTGGGGATGGAGAGTCATAGTGGTGACAAGCCCGGTAAGTAACCTCACCAAGATGTGCCAAAGACAGTCAGCGATGGAAGGGCCTGTGGAGGCAAGGTAAGGGGAGGGGAAGTTGTAGTGGGATTCGGGAGGTGCTTACTGATCTTCTTGCAGGCCCTACAAATGTTATTCAAACCTCTGGGCAAATGTATCAGTCACTTGACCCTCCATGAACTCCTCCAAGGACTTCAGGGATTAATGCTGTTGCCACCTGGCTCCTCAGAGCGGCCAGTCACCGTGGTGCTTCAGAATCAGGTAACATGTCTAGGAGGCTTTTTTCCATAGATGGCTTTCAGGTTGGTATCACTGATAAGGGATAAGTTGGGACAGTCTCATCTCTCCACAAATCTTATCCTCTGCAGTGCCTCTCAATTTCTAGTAAGCACAGGATCACCTGGCCAGCTTATTAAACCCAGCTCCTTGGTCCCACTCAGTCATTCAGTGGGTCTGGGGTGGGGCCCATGTGCCGGCTCTGTTTTTCTAATAAGCTCCCTGATTGCTGCTGATGTGAGCCTCCAGAGCAGGTCTCCAAACTCTTGTGTACCTCTGTCAGTAAAAAACATTCTAAACCACACTACCCATGTGTTTATAAACCAAATGTAACACTAGTAATAATAGGTACATAATAAATATTTTTCATTTATTTTTTAGATAGTCTCACTCTGTCACCCAGGCTGCAGTGCAGTGGCACGATCTTGGCTCGCTGCAACCTCTATCTCCCGGGTTCAAGTGATTCTCCTGCCTCAGCCTCCCAAGTAGCTGGGATTACAAGTGTGTACCACCACACCCAGCTAAGTTTTGTATTTTTAGTAGAGACATGGTTTCACCATGTTGGCCAGGCTGGTCTTGAATGCCTAACTTTAAGTGATCCGCCTGCCTCGGCCTTCCAAAGTGCTGGAATTACGGGCATGAGCCACTGCACCCGGCCAATAGGTATATAATAAATATAAGATAGAAAATTTTAAAGAAAAGACTCTAGATGTGAAAATTTTGATACTGTCTTTTAATATCCCAGTGGATTATCTCGTGTATGCCACACTGAAGGTCTTTGCTTAAAGAAGTGCCTCTTAAAGTGGAGTCCACAGACTACCTGCCTCAGATTCCTGGAGGCATTCCTAACCTCCTACTCCTAGGAGTCAAGCCTAGAAATATGCATTTAATCAGCTCTCCAAGAGTGTCTTTTGGAAAAGTTCAGAGCAGTGATTCCTATGGAAAGGTTAGAGAGTTCTTTGGCTCACCAGTGTAAAACCTGACAGCCCTTGTGCATATCTTGGGCTCCATCTCTAAATGTTAACCTGTCCTTTAGTTGGGAAGATAAGAGTCAGGAAAGCACCAAATGCTGAGAGTGAACTCATTTTGCGCTGGAATATATGTATGTCCCTTGCAGTTTGGAATATCTTTGCTCTATGCCCTACTGAGTCATGGGGAGCAGCTGGTATCGCTGGATTCTTCCCTAGAGGAACCCAACAGTGACCATACAGCTTGGTAAGATCATAAAGGCCTTGTAAATACTATCTCAGTACCCCTGGGATGTGCAGACTGAGCCAGATGAAGCATTTCCTGAGGCATTTCAAGTACTGAGGAGGAGGCTGGATAGAGAAAGAAGTAGCAGTGTTGTAGCTGTTCTGCTTTTTTTTTAAATAGTGCCCTAGAGTTTTGGTTTCTTCTAGGAGGCAGTATAACATGGTATCTAAGGGGACAAGCTTTAGAGTTTAAAAAGACCTAGGTTTGAATTCTGACTGTATCACTCACTAGCAATATAACTTTAGGGCAAGTTCTTTCACTTCTCACTTCTCTTAGTTTGTTCCTTTATCTACAAACTAGGGATGATGGTATTAACCCCTCATAGTTCTTAAGATTAAATAGGAAGGGAAATATGTAAAGCACTAAGCATGGCTTGGCATGTAGCAAACATGCAAATGTTACCTCTGAATTGCTACCTGGGGGTGGGGGACAATGGTAGTAGCAATGGAAAGATAATAACCTTGGCCCTGAGTCTGTTTCTTAAGCAAATTTATTTGCTTATATTTATATTTATGCTCTCTAGGACAGACATGGTGGTTCTGATTGCCTGGGAAATAGCCCAAATGCCTACAGCCTCTCTGGCAGAACCCCTAGCTTTCCCCAGCAACCTACTTCCCCTGTTCTGTCACCACGTGGACAAACAATTGGTTCAGCAGCTGGAGGCCAGGATGGAGTAAGTCATCACAGAAACAAGGTCAAAGTCCCTTGTTCAAGCCCAATCTATGTTCTGTTACTTGCTTCACTACTTCCTTCTTTTAAATTATGAGCATGAAGGAACATGTGCTTTTAGAAGTGGTTCTATACACTGACATTTACTGTGTAATCAGTCTTGACCAAGTCTTCAGCCAACCTTTCATTCTACGCGCTTTGGTCATTTATAGTGCTAAGCTATTTGAAGGCAAGAATTAGTTTAAGAACCTGAATTATTCATTCATTCAAGAAATACTTGAGGGACAACTATTCCAGGATATAGGCATGAATAACACGGTCATCTCTGTCCTCAGAATTACTGCTAGAGTCAGATACTAGTCAAATCATATAAATGCTTGCAAAGTAGAATTGTGCTTGCAGTTAACACCTGTTCTCTTTATAGGTTTGCCTGGATCTACTGATCTGTTTGTTCTGGAATACATATATGTGGGAAGTTGAATCATCAGACACTAGCTGTATAGACTGTATTTACAGGGATCCAGAGAGTCTGAAGACATTTCTTAAGCCTTTATATATTGGAGAACCCTTCCCCAAACATTTTCATATCCTTTCTTCAAAAATCTAAATGATGTGCCTAAAAATAAGACATGGCATAATAAGGTATAATTAAAGAGATAATAGAATGATGTGTTGGAACTTGCTTGTAAGTTAAAACCCGTAATGAAGGTTATCTTATGTGTGAGTGCTCCAGGAATGTCCTTTTGCTTTTCTTTAAGATAGGGTGTTACTCTGTCACTCATGTGGAAGTGCAGTGGCACCATCATGGCTCACTGCAGCGTTGTGAGTGCATGGCTCACTGCCTCCAGGCTCAAGTAATCCTCCCACCTCAGTCTTCTGAGTAGCTTGGATTACAAGCATGTGACACCACACCCAGTTAGTATTTTAAAAAAATTTTTTTTTGGCCAGGCGCAGTGGCTCATGACTGTAGTCCCAGCACTCCGGGAGGCCAAGGCGGGCAGATCACCTGAGGGTCGGGAGTTTGAGACCAGCCTGACCAATGTGAAGAAACTGCGTCTCTACTAAAAATACAAAATCAGCCAGGCATGGTGGCACATGCTTGTAATCCCAGCTACTTGGAGGCTGAGGCAGGAGAATCGCTTGAACCCGGGAGGCAGAGGTTGGAAGTTGCAGTGAGCCAAGACTGCGCCACTGTACTCCAGCCTGGCCAACAAGAGCAAAACTGTCTCTAAAAAAATTTTTAATTTTTTTTGTAGAGACAAGGGTCTCCCTATGTTGGCAAGGGTGGGCTCCAGTGATCCTCCCAACTTGGCCTCCCAAAGTGCTGGGATTTACAGGCATGAGAAGAATGTCCTGAGTATAAGGGACAAGGCCTTGTAGCTAACACAAGTGTAACCTTTGAAATTGCTTTAACGTTGCCATTTTTTATAGAGAGAAAACTGCCCCAGCTAAGCTTAGAAGGTTGACTATATCTCCCTTGTGATATAAAATGTTTGGTTTCAGCCGGGCACGGTGGCTCACATCTGTAATCTTAGCACTTTGGGAGGCTGGGATGGGTAATTCACCTGAGGTCAGGAATTCGAAACCAGCCTGGCCAACATGGTGAAACCCCGTCTCTACTAAAATACAAAAATTTAGCTGGGTGTGGTGTGTGCCTGTAATTCCAGCTACTGGGGAGGCTGAGGAAGGAGACTTGCTTGAGCCCGGGAGGCAGAAGTTGCAGTGAGTTGAGATCCCCCACTGCACTCCAGTCTGGGTGACACAGCAAGACTCCATCTCAAAAAAAAAAAAAGTTTGCTTTTATTTTGACAAATAAGGTCATGCATTGATCAACAAATGCTGGAGTACCTTTCATGAAACGGGCACTGTTTTAGGTACTAGCAAGGACAGTGGTGAGCAACAAAGTCCTTGCTCTCTTGAAGTTTACATTCTGATTGGACAGGAACTGGCAGAAAATATCAAGTAGTGATAAATACTATGATTAAAAACAAAACAAGGTGAGAGACTGCAGTAAAAGGGACTTTAGGTTGAATGGCTTAGGGAGGCCTGTCAATAGAGGTTACATTTATGCGGAAACGTTCTGAATGTGGCAAATGTGTTAAGAAGGTACAGCTACAGCTGTCTTTTAGGAGACGTTACCAAAATGCCTATTCAACTCTTCTTCTCACCTCAAACCCGTTGCTCCTTCCTCTTGATCTTGGATCATACTTCTCTGAGAAAACAGACAGGAGCTCTACCATCTCCACCCCTTACTTACCCCATCTCTCTGTTACAATGGATATTATTTGACTTCAACTTTCGGGTCAACACCCTCACTATGGATCCACACTGTAAGACTTGATCCATGCTACCAAGGAAATGGCACCACCCCAGAGCCTGTAAGCAAACAGCACAATAAGAAAAGCGAAGAAAAGAGGCAGGAACTGGGTTCCAGGGGAGCTGGAGGCAGCTGGAGGCAGCTGGATCAAGAAGGCAAAGGGTAATGCACAGAGCGAGAACGGCTGCAACGGTCTGCTAGGCTAGGTTAGGCCTTCAAGCATGCCAGGGTAGTTAAGCAGAGTGCGACTGGGGCCAGAGCAGTTGTGGCTTTGCTATAGAGGCTGGTACTGCCCCCCACAGGAAAGGAATGGAACCGACCGGAGACAGCCGAGAGGTCTCCGCGGGAGTCACGAGGCCGAGCGTGAGCCGCTCCGTACACTGCGCATGCCCACGACGCAATCAGGTTCCGGCGAAAGTGCCCGGAAGTAACGGCCGGGCCAAGATGGCTGCAGAGGAGGGAGCCGGCAGGGCTGCTTCCGCCGGCGGTAGCTGGGGCGCCGCGGCCATGGGGCGGGTTCTACCGATGCTGTTGGTGCCGGTCCCCGCCGAGGTGATGGGGCAGCTGGGCTCCCGGGCGCAGCTGCACACACAGCAGGAGGCTCTGGGGAGCCTGACGGCTGCGGGCAGCCTCCAGGTGCTTTCTTTGGCTCCTGGCAGCCGGGGCCGGGGTCGCTGCTGCCTGGAGGGCCCCTTCTGGCAGTAAGTGCTGAGGGAGAGCTGGGCCGTTGGGGGAGTCCAGAGGGCTCACGCCGTGGCCTCCCTGCAACCATAGAGGTGTCGGGAGAAGGGTGACAGCCGCAGGAAACGGCCCAGAGACGAGCCTGGTTTCCTCTCAGAACCTTTCCCCCGACCTGAAGCGCTTGCCTCGTTGCATTCCGGCAGGCCGGCTCCCCTGTTCCAGGTGGGCGGAGACGGCGTCCAGCTCCTCTGCCACCTGCGGCGAACCCGGAACAGTCTCAGCTGAGGCGCTGATTCTTTATCAACACTGGTTGATTAACTGTCATAGGGTCGAGTCCCATGCCCATTTCGTCTTTCAGTTAAAGATGCCAGCTGAGGATCATCTCTAATTTGAATCGTCCTGATACTTTTTCCATGTCCTTGAAATTAATAGCGTTTTTCTTCACATGTAGTCCTCTTCTTCAAGGACAGAGTCCAGTTTGTCCCTTCACTTATTCAACAAATATTGTGTGCCTGCTGTTACATAGGAGCAGTGCCTAAAAAGTTGAGTAAGACACTTCTTTCTTGCGAGGCGCGCATGTTTGGGGAAGACAAACATGTGATTAAAATAATGCGTTACTTTGTACTTCTGTAACCTTGGTTCAGTACTTAAGAGTTTACATCATAAAGTTTGGGAATGCCCTGTTAGTGTTTTGAGTGGGCTGCCTTTTTTTTTTTTTTAAGATAAGGTCGCTGTCGCCCAGGCTGAAGTGTAGTGGCTCAGTCACGGCTCACGGCAGCCAACTTTGACTTCTTGGGCTCAGCCTCCCCTGTAGCTACGATTACAGGTGTGCACCACCAGGCCTGGCTGATTTTTCTATTTTTTTGTAGAGATGAGGTCTCACTGTGCTACCTAGGCTAGTCTCAAACTCCCGGGCTCAAATGATCCCACATCTCCCTGCCAAAGTGTTGGGATTACAGGCGTGAGCCACTGAGCCCAACCTGTCCTTTAATAATTATTAATAGTAAGTATTTTCACAACTCTCTCTTTGAGACGGGTAGCTGAAAGCTGTCTTATTCATCTTGGAATCTCCATCTCCTCTAACAGCTCCTGACATTTAGAGATTCGTTTGATAAATCGGTGAATGCTTAACTCTTCTGGGTTTGTCTTCTCTGTCCTTGATGTCTAGTTGCTAGAAGAGGAATCTGCATTTAGTTTATAAACTATTATAAACTAAGTTATTTATAAACTAGTTTAGGGGAAGTTAGTTTATTTAGCAGTATCAAGTACCTATGAATGTGGCTCTGTAAAGAGGAATGGGACAGAAAGAAAAGCAGAAATCTTTAGGTGTTTGAGAACCCAACAGAGAAGGTAAGACATACCCAGATGAAATAAAGGGGGCATTCTTATGCTAGTTCATGAAATTAGAGGGGAGGAGGACCAAGAAAGGACTTTTTAATTTTTTTATTTGAATTGAATTTTAATTCAGTTAAAATACTTCATAGGGTAAAAATAAGGGCATGTTTTTAGTATTTAGAGTTTACTTCCTACTTTTTCAAAGTACATAGACCTTTTTTATATTGTTGAAATTACATCATATATCTTGTTTATTGCCTTGAAAATTTCCTGTCTTTCCATGTGGCAATATTGTCCCTATGCTAATGATGTACTCGACCTTTTAAGTATATCTTAGTTTAACTTTTGTTTATTTTGACATTTAGGTTTTCTACATTTATCAATATGAAGTCAGAAACGTGTCATTTTTTTATCTAATAAGGACATAATACTGTAATAGTATAAAACTACTGTAGTATTATAAAATACATAGTTTTATTACTAATTGAATTAAATCATGTATGTACCACAGTAGTTTTATATACTACTCCAGAAGTATAAAACTTGCTACTTCTGTAGAAAAAGCAAGTTTCTTAAAAGATGAAATTTTATCAGCATGGTATAGCCTCACCTCTTTCCATTGTGTTATTTTCAGATTTGGGGCTTTTATTTGTAATATGTAATTTAATTTTAATATTTAATTTGAAGCTGAAACACCATCAGTCTTGCCAGTGTTGTTACTTTGACATTACAGTTTAAGAATTCCATAACTGTACTGTTTAGTAATGGTAGTCATTAGCTACATGTGGCTGTTAAAGTAAAAAATTTGGTTCCTCAGTTGCCCCACATTTCAAGTGTTCAGTAGCTGCATGTGGCTATTGACTACTGTATTGGGCAATGCTAGTATAAAACTTTTCCATCACAGAAGGTTCTATTAGGCAGAGTTTTTCAAGATTTTGGAATCGTCAGTCTATAAATACAAATAATCACCTTCTTTTTAAAAGTGAAAACATTTAAGTTATCAAAAGCCTGTTTTATTGTAAATACCGCCTCATATGAATAATATACATATTTTATTGTTGATACCTACCCTTGATCATGACAGTTTGTTTAAACATATTAGTTGGGATTAAAGATGAAAGAATAAAAGGAGCTATCATTTCTTGCTCTGAGCCCCACATTTTTGTTTTTTACCACCCACTCCTGTAGTTTTGTGTTGGTGTAAAAGGGAAGCAGGAAGAGGAGGGAGGTCCTAGAGCAGTTTATGTTCTCTTAAATTGAAGTGTAGAATGAATGCTACCTGGTCAACGAAACTGTTCTCTACTTATTCAGCCCTTCTACCCCCACTATTGTGAGTAAATATTATTGCGCATATAGAATACAATAAATCTAAACTTTTTTCTTAGCTTTATATGGGAGGATTCTCGTAACAGCAGCACAGCAACTGACAAGCCCAAACTGCTCGCTCTTGGTGAAAATTATGAACTGCTTATCTATGAATTTCATTTGAAAGATGGAAGATGTGATGCAACCATTTTGTATAGCTATAGTGGGGAGGCATTGCAAAAGCTCATTGAAGATCAAGATATCAGTAAGTATCTACAGGTGGTCTTTCAGCGTATTTAAATTTGTGACATTATCATGTAGTTATATACTTCAGGAAAAGTTCTCATAGATGTGAAATCAGGTCTACACTGTCCGATATAGTAGTCACTAGGCAGATGGGGCTGTTGAGTACTTGAAATGTGGTTAATATGAATTAAGATGTACTTTGTGTCATATGCATATTAGATTTTGAAGACTTAATACTAAAAAGTAAAGTATCTCAATTTTTGTATTTAATTACATTTCAAAATATGAAATACTTTGGATATAAGCTAATGTATATTATTAAAATTAATTTCACCTGTTTCTTGTGGCTACCAGAAAATTTTATTTATTTTTATTTTATTTATTTTTTTGAGACAGAGTCTCACTCTGTCACCCAGTCTGGAGTGCAGTGGTGTCATCTTAGCTCACTGCAACCTTCGCTTCCCCAGTTCAAGCGATTCTCGTGCCTCATCCTCCCGAGTAGCTGAAACTACAGGTGCCCGCCACCACGCCTGGCTAATTTTTATATTTTTAGTAGAGGCAGGGTTTCGCCATGTTGGCCAGGCTGGTCTCAAACTCCTGACCTCAAGTGATCCGCCCACCTGGGCCTCCCAAAGTGCTGGGATTGCAGGTGTGAGCCACCCCTGCTAGAAAATTTTAAGGCATGTATGTGGCTTACATTATATTTCTATTTGACAGTGCTGATCTACACTGCTTATAGAGCTGTTGACTGCAGGGAGCAGAAATCAAAGCACTCAGGCCTCTTTTTAAAGCAGTAACATACTCTTCACCCTTGATTATAAGGTTTCTTCTTTTTTTCTTTTTTTTTTTAAAAAAGGCCGGGTACAGTGGCTCATGCCTGTAATCCTAGCACTTTGGGAGGCCAAGGCGGGCGGATCATGAGGTCAGGAGATCAAGACCATCCTGGCTAACACAGTGAAACCCCATCTCTACTAAAAATATAAAAAATGAGCCGGGTGTGGTGGTGGGCGCCTGCAGTCCCAGCTATTCAGGAGGCTGAGGCAATAGAATGGTGTGAACCTGAGAGACGGAGCTTGCAGTGAGCCGAGATCACGCCACTGCACTCCAGCCTGGGTGACAGAGTGAGACTCCGTCTCAAAAAAAAAAAACCAAAAAAAATGTGATTGTTCTTATGGGGTCCCATGGACAAGTTGATTTTTTTGAATATTCCTTCTAGTGTGCTATCAGAGTAGCATAAACGGAACCAGAGACATTGCAGGCCATCTTTATTCATCCTCTTACCCACTTCCCAATGACTACTTCCTTAGGTGGGTGTGAACCGTAACTGCGTAGAGTTAAACTAAGTCTAGTTCCTTTTTTGTTTTACTTTTTTGTTAGGTTTATAAAATCAAATGTACCAGTTGTAAAATTGTGACCAATGAGTTTGAAATAATATCCTTTTGTTTTGTAGGTATTTCCTTACTGTCTTTGAGAATCCTGTCATTTCACAATAACACATCATTGTTGTTCATCAACAAATGTATCATCCTACATATTATATTTCCTGAAAGAGATGCTGCAATTAGAGTACTCAACTGTTTCACACTACCTTTGCCTGCACAGGCAGTGGACATGATTATTGACACGCAGCTCTGCAGAGGAATTCTTTTTGTTTTGAGTAGTTTAGGCTGGATCTGTATCCTTGGTGGTAGAAGTGTTGATTGACATGTAGAGGAGAAGAATACCTAGAAAGATGAGCCTTTTTAGGCTTTGGTTTTGGGGGCTGGGATATAGGGAGCATGGTTAATTTTTCAGTAAAACTTTTCATGGAAAAAGATCCTCATAAACTTAAAATACTAAATTGTAATCTACTTTATATTCTATTTGAATATATAGTATATATACTATATATTATATTTTCCAGTATGTACATTTTTAGTAGTCTTAATCATATGAATTTGCGTTCTTTTAAAATTGTATATTCTCTTCTTTACCTATTTATTCAAAATGTATTTCTTGAATATCTACTGTGTGCTTAATGTGGCCAGTGTGGCCAGACGTGGTGGCTCACGCCTGTAATCCCAGCACTTTGGGAGGCTGAGGTGGGTGGATAACAAGATCAGGAGTTCGAGACCAGCCTGGCCAATATGGTGAAACCCCATCTCTGCTAAAAATACAAAAAAATTAGCCAGGCATGGTGGTGCATACCTGTAATCCCAGCTACTCAGGAGGCTGAGGCAGGAGAATTGCTTGAACCTGGGAGGTGGAGGTTGTAGTGAGCCCAGATGGTACCACTGCACTCCAACCTGGGCAACAGAGCGAGATGGTCTTTAAAAAAAAAAAAAGTGCTTATGTTGTGATACATATCTTTTCATGTGTAAATATAATCTACCTCTTGTCTCTAATGATGTTTCCATCGTATTAATGAATATTTGCTTAGCCATCGTTAATTTGATCTTGGAAAATATGGGTTCATTGTCTCCAGCAGATATATTGGTCATCAGCAAAATTATTCTGAAGATTTGACAAATTACCCTTTATGATTTTGGAACTTTAGTTTCTGAATTGAAAGAAGGTTTTTTATATTTTGTAATAGGTATATAATTTTTGCAAAAATGTCATAAGTACTAGATTAACAATTTTTGTTGCCGGGTTATGGAACTGCACTGTCCAAAACAGTAGGCATTAAGCGTATGTGACTTTGAGCATATTAAATTGGCTAGCGTAACTTGGGAATTGAATTCTTAATTTTGTGTAATTAAATTTTTTTTCTTCTCCTGAGACAGGGTCTCACTCTCACCCAGGCTGGAGTGCAGTGGCGTAATCTTGGCTCACTGCAACCTCTGCCTCCTGGGCTCAAGCGATTCTCATGCCTTAGCCTCCCAAGTAGCTGGGACTATAGGCATGGGCCGCCATGCCCAGCTAATTTTTATTACTTTAGATTTAAAAGCTGATACTCAGTTCAGTCATTGGAGAAGTTTTAAGGATGTTTGTTACAACTTTAGTTGTTCCAGCTTTCAACCTTAAATTTTATGAAGTCTCAATACAGATCAGATATTTCTGATGAAAATTTAGTATCCAAATTAAGATGTGCTGTAAGTGTAAAATACCAGACTTTGAACATTTATACAAGAGAAGGAACATAAAATGCCTCAGTTTTTATACGGACTGCATGTTGATAATACTTTGGATAGACAGTATTGGGTTGCATAAAATACATTAGGTTTACCTCATCTGTTAGCCAGTGCTGTTAGAAAATAGTAGTGCCTCTGGGCACGGCCCACAGTAGATGTTCAGCAGGTATTGTTGAAGAACTTGGTATCAGGTTCTTTATTGTACCACCAACTTCATAGTCATCTGATTGTTATAATGGGGACTTGCCTCAGTTTTCAGTCTTCTCGTTACACCTACAAAATTGGAGTGATAAAGTCTATAGCTTTATCCCAACCTGTGCTTTAAATTGTTAGTCATACTTATAAAACTGGCATTTTCTTTTAACTCTAACTCAAAGACATTTTTGATGTTGTGGATGGTACGTATGTAGCTCATGTGGATTTAGCACTTCACGAAGAAGAAATGTGTAATGAGCAGCAACAGGAGCCAGCCAAGATTTCTTCATTTACTTCACTGAAAGTGTCTCAAGACCTCGATGTTGTAGTGATTGTCAGTTCATCCAACTCTGCAATTGCTCTTAACTTAAATTTGTATTTCAGGTATGTAGATGATGGCAGTTTCTAATATGAGGTAAATAATTGACTGATAAGAGGTTAAAAATACCCTTGTTTGTTTGTTTTTTTTAAACTAGTGTTTCTTTTTCTATTCAGTTATATCATGTTCTAGCTAATACATTGTAAAGTAGTTACGGAATAATATATATAAATGACCACTGGCCACCTTTGTATTTTTGCATATTCATCAAAGTTTTGATTTTGACTTATGTGTTATCATATATGGGTTATGTCATGTAAATCAAAATTACACAATTTTAAACCACAGTTTAGCACTTAATTGTATAGACATATTATTTCCCTAATTTTCTCATGTTTCCCATAGTTTATAAGCTCCTTGAGAACCCAAATTCATGATTTGTTCTTTAAATTCATCGTCAATGACTTTTTCTTCCAGTTTACCTTAGCTTTCCACCTCCACAGCCATACCCAAGGCTTTGTCAGTATTTGAAGTCGGCCCACCCCCAAGTCACTACTTTTTACATCTCAGTCTCTGACCACAACTTCCCAAACTTTCCAGCTTGCTTACTCAAGTACTCCCACTTCACCTATCCTCTGACCTCACTGGAATTTCCAATTCATTGACCTTCTACTCTTCACCCACTCCTATCTTCACTTCCCTGTCTTTCCAGCATAGATTCTGTGATTCATCATACCAGTTACTTTCTTGCATGTACTCTGAACTCTTGCTCCTGCCCTGTGATAGCACTTGGTCTGGCACAATTTCAACCCTGATTGAAATCTTTTTTTCTGCCTTCACAGTGTCTACAGTCAGGCAGCTGAGTACTTGTAGAAAACAACAAAAGAAAATTGGTACCACTCTAGGTTCACACTTAGTATCTTTAATTGGTCTTAATGTTGCTTGGAAATTTTACAGTGATTTTTCATGAGCCCATTCTTTACAACCGTATTTTAAACCTTCTCTATTTTCCTCAAACCTCCATTAATCTCTTTATTCCCAACTTTTCTTGGATGGCCTTGCCTCCTATGAAGGCCTATCCCTCTGTGTATGCTTTAGATCCTATTCCTTCCATCCTTCTTAGGGGCCTTTCTCCATTTCTTCTTTTTTATATAGTTGTCATCTTTATCCACAGTTACACTTTCTCCTGGTCAATTGTGGTTCAGAAATATTACATACGCTAAGATATTTTAAGAAAGACTACATTCACATAACTTTTATTACAGTGTATTTTTGTAATTGTCCTATTGTTAGTTATTACTCACTGTGCCTAATTTATAAATTAAACTTTATTATAGGTATGTATGCATAGGAAAAAACAATACAGTTGACCCTTGAACAACTCGGGGATGCCAACCCCCTGCACAATCAAGATGCCACATGTGACTTTTGACTCCCCCAAAACTTAGCTACTAATAGCCTACTGTTGACCAGAAACCTTACTGTTAACATCAACAGTTGGTTAACACATATTTTGTATGTTATATGTATTATACTGTATTCTTACAATAAAGTGATCTACAGAAAAGAAAATCTTAAGAGAAAATACATGTACAATACTGTACTGTATTGATACTCTACATAATCTGTTTACAAGATGAGTAGTCTGTCTGAAAAGGCAAGCAGCCACATCAGCATACCTCAACCCATGGTACATGTCAGGCAATTCATGTTTTTTTTACAATGTCATGACTTTTCTCTACTTGGGAGCACTTCCAGCATTACATTTCATATGGGTCCCATGGTGTTATTCAAGGTTATGGTATGGTACGAAACATGATGAAAATACATGAGAACCACAAGAAATCACTTTTTAAAAATTATGTTATTATTTTAGAGACAGGATCTTGCTATGTTGCCCAGGCTGGACTCATATTCCTGGGCCCAAGCAGTCCTCCAGCTCAGCCTCCCGAGTAGCTGGAACTATACGTTCACCCACCGTGCCAGCTAGAGAGATCACTTTTTACTGTGATACATAATTTGCTGGAGAGAAGAACTGCTCACACAGAGATTATTAGTATCACATGGCATTTTAAGCAGATATTTACAACACTAGGGCTCACTGCAATGGCAACAGGAAGTGGCTATGAGATTATTACAGCAGTATAGTATATACTACAGCTAATTATATATAGTTATTTAATACTGCATCTTTACATTTGTTTACATTTTCTTTGGCTTTGAATGGTATCATGTACAGTCTGTAAGTGTGTATGTAGGTTCTGATAAATGTTAACTTTTTTTTTTTCTTTTTTGAGATGGAGTTTCGCTCTCGTTGTCCAGGATGGAGTGCAATGGTGTGATCTCAGCTCACTGCAACCTCCACCTCCTGGGTTCAAGCGATTCTCCTGTCTCAGTCTCCTGAGTAGCTGGGATTACAGGTGCCCACCACCACACCCGGTAATTTTTGGTATTTTTAGTAGAAACGGGGTTTCACCACATTGGCCAGGCTGGTCTCGAACTCATGACCTCAGGTGATCCGACCACCTTGGCCTCCCAAAATGCTGGAATTACAGGCATGAGCACCCAGCCAGTCTTAACTTTTTATGCCAAGTTTGTGGTTTTGGTTTTTTTTAAAATTTTGAGACGGAGTCTTGCTCTATTGCCCAGGCTGGAATGCAGTGGTACAATCTCGGCTCACTGCAACCTCCACCTCCTGAGGTCAAGTGATTCTCCTGTCTTAGCCTCCCAAGTAGCCGGGAGTACAGGCGTGTGCCACCAAGCCCAGCTAATTTTTGTGTTTTCAGTAGAAACGGGGTTTTGCCATGTTAGCCAGGCTGGTCTTGAACTCCTGACCTCAAGTGATCCACCTGCCTCAGCCTCCCAAGGTGCTGGGATTACAGGCATGAGCCACTGTGCCCGGCCAATTTGTGCATAATTTATGGTAGAAAATGATAGAGTAGGATCTATGTAACTTTTATGCATTCATGACATACCTGGCTTAATCTTGATTTTAAAAAATATTTCTAGGCTAAACTGAGCATGGTAGTACATGCCTATGGTGTCAGCTACTCTGGAGGCTGAGGCAGGAGGATTGCTTGAGTCCAGCAGATCAAGGCTACAGTGAGCTGTCATTGCACCACTGTACTCCAGCCTGGGCAACAGAGCAAGACCCTGTCTGAAAAAAATATATTTCTAGGCTACATGGTTCATTTGTGAGTTTAAACAAATTGTTGCAAATCTCTAAAAATTTTTCCAATATATTTTTGGGAAAAAAACATCATATAAGTGGACCCATGGAGTTCAAACCTGTGATATTCAAGGGTCAACTGTATGTATAGGGTTTGGTACTATCTGCAGTTTCAGGTACCTACTGTGTGTCTTGAATGTATCCGCTGTGGATAAGAGGGGACTGCTGTGTCTCCAACTTCTTTTTGGTATTAGATCCACATCCAGTTAATCATCAGATCCTAGCCATTCTGTCTTCTAAATGTTTTTGTTTGTCCACTTTTCTCAACTCTTCCGTCGTCACTCTAATCTATGCCACCATCATCTCTTAATTGAACTACTTTAATAGTTTCCTCCTTGATCTCCTCATGCCTGTTCTTACCCCCTGAAATCCATCCACAATAGAGTAGCTAGAGTGATGTTGTTAAAATGCATATTTTATCAGAGGTGTAGCCAGGCATTAACATCTGGGGCAGGGGTATCTACCTTTTATTTTGTTGATGGGGAAGCTATTTTCTCATTCATCTTCTCATTTTCACCCTACCTTCTCTAACTTCTTTTCATCATCATCCTGGGACAGTGTCATATGGTTGTGCCAACAAATTACCTTCAAGTTGTTTAAAGGATTAATATTTAATAATGCAAGTGCTCGAGGAGATAAAATCCTTCCCCTTGTTCCGCTAGCTACTCTTCTGCCTCTGTTCATATTGCTTTTCTGCTTAAAAGCCTTCTTCAGGTCCCTTTTCCCCCTCAGATAAAAGTTTAAAATTCTTAATAGCCTTTGGGGCCCTGAACCATCTTTCTAGCCTCATCCCATTCCATCTTCTCATTTTTCCTATACGTTAGCCACCCTAGCCTTCTTTGTTTCTCAAATGTAACAGCCCCCCCTTTTCCACATATACTGTCCCACCTATAGCCACACACATACTTTGCCTTCTAGTTCTTATACATTCCTCTGTCTAAGCCTAAATCTTACTTTGTGGTGGCAGTATAATGAGTGATTTTAAAATCTGGACTAGAGGCCGAGGCAGGCGGATCACTTGAGGTCAGGAGTTTGAGACCAGCTTGGCCAATATATGGTAAAACCCCATCTCTACTAAAAATACAAAAATAAGCCAGGTGTGTCATGCACCTGTAGTCCCAGCTACTCAGGAGGCTAAGACAGGAGAATTGCTTGAACCTGGGAGGCAGAGGTTGCAGTGAACTGAGATTGTGCCACTGCACTCCAGCCTGGGTGACAGAGTGAGACTCTGTCTCAAAAAAAAACAAAAAAAACTAGACTTGATGGTCATATTAGTCTGTTTCAAAGTGTTTCTGAACCTTAGTTTCCAAATCTATAAGATGAGGTTATATTTACCTCACAGGGTTGTTGAGAGGCTTAAATAAGAGTTTGTGTGAAGTGTTTAGCGTAACATCTGAAATATAGTAGACAGTAAGTGTTCTTATTGCTTTATCAAGCTAACTGCCCTTAATAGAATAAAATTCTTACAGTTGACTTTATTACTGCGGCATAAGCAAGGGAGATAAGGAGTTCCTTTCTGGGGAATTTGTTGTCCATACTATTCCTTCTCTGTAGTCTCTTATTTTTAACAGGAGCAATAGTAACACAAATTTGGGTTTGATCATCATTTTTTCATATGGCTATCATTATTTTTAAATGTAGGCAACACCCAGGACACCTACTGTGTGAAAGAACACTAGAAGACTTTCCTATTCAAGGACCTAAGGGGATAGATGAAGATGATCCTGTTAACTCTGCCTACAATATGAAACTGACCAAGTTTTCTTTCCAAATTGATAGGTACAGAAATTTCCTTTTCATTTAGTTTATTGTTCCTATTTTTTATCATGCTGACACTGTACCTTTTCATTAAAGGTCTTTATTTGGTAGATACTTTTTTTTCTTAAGAACGTCTTTGCCCTGGTTTAGTGTTTCACATAGTGCCTTTTACTGTGACAGGTGTTAAGTTGTATTTTACCTTGTTTTCCAGGTCTTGGAAAGCCCAGCTATCATCATTGAATGAAACAATAAAGAACTCCAAACTGGAGGTTTCCTGTTGTGCTCCGTGGTTCCAGGATATTTTGCATTCAGAGTCACCTGAATCTGGTAACCACAGTACAAGTGTGCAGAGCTGTGCTTTCATTCCACAGGACATAATACATGGGCAATATAATTTTCTACGGAAAGATCATGTCAAGACCAGTGATCCAGGAAGATCATGGAAGATAATGCACATCGGTGAACAAGAGGAACCCATAGATCTTAAATGTGTGTCTGTGACAGGATTCACTGCACTGTTTACTTGGGAAGTGGAAAGGATGGGCTATACCATTACCCTCTGGGATTTGGAGAACCAGGGCATGCAGTGTTTTTCCCTTGGCAGAAAGTGTATTCCTGTAGACAGTAGTGGAGAGCAGCAACTGTGCTTTGTTTTGACAGGTGAGACTGTCTTGTATCAGACTGAAATTCACCATTGCTGAGATGTATGCTTTCCTACTGTATTTTGCTTCTGCCTCAGTGCCTGCCTCACCTTTAAGTGGTATTGTAATTGTTTATAGAGGAAGGTTCTTGTTATTCTTGGTAATAGTGTCTCATATGTTTGACTTTTAATTAATGTCATTTCTGCCCAGCTAAATGCTAAGATACTAAGTCAGAGAAAGTTTGAGAGAAATGAAGTTTATTATTATTATTTTTTTTAACTCAAAGAGTCTTCGTTTGACTTGACAAGCAGAGGTTGTAAGCTAGCTGCTCATGGGCCATGTATGAACTGCATATTTATTTTGCTTGGCTTGCACTATCTAGGCTTTTAAAAAAGATTATAAACATTCATAATTAGAGGGTTTCACACAAATTCTAATTTCCAGCTGTTACTGAAAATTATAAGATCTGGCAACACTGGGCCTGCATTCCTGCATAGTTAACTTATGGGTTGGAGCTGTGTTTCAATCATTCTCTTAGATGGGCCATTTTATTTCTCTCTCTTTTTTAAAAATTTTTTTTTTTAGACAGAGTCTCACTCTCACCCAGGCTGGAGTGCAGTGGTGCGATCTTGGCTCACTGCAACCTCCACCTCCCTCCAGAGTAGCTGGGACTACAGGCACGCACCACCACGCCCAGCTAATTTTTGTATTTTTAGTAGAGATGAGGTCTCGCAGTGCTGACCAGACTGGTCTCAAATGCCTGACCTCAAACAGTCCACCTGCCTCAGCCTCCCAAAGTGCTGGGATTATAGGTGTGAGCCACCACGCCTGGCTGTACTTTCATTTTTTAATAGAGGTGAGGTCTCACTACCTTGCCCAGGTTGGTCTCAAACTCCTGAGCTCAGGTGATCCTCCCGGCTTTGCCTCCCAAAGTGCTAGGATTACAGGCGTGAGCCACTATGCCTGGCATGAGACATTTTGATATTTCAGATATGTATTCATTCACTGCAGAATCTGTCTTCTACAAAGGTATTGAATGTTGTAATTGGAATTAACCATGTGTTTCTTCTATACTCAAATTTTGGTAGTCTTGTATTTCTATGTGTCAGGAATAAGCTGTGAATTATTTTATAATGATAAACCAGAAATCTGACATCTCTAAGTGATTAAAGGTTCCATGATTGGTTATGCAAGATAATATAAAGTAGAAATGTGGGATTTAGTGCTTTTTTTTTTTTTTTTTCCTGATATGGAGTCTCCCTGACTGGAGTGCAATGGTGTGATCTCGGCTCACTGCCCTCCGCCTCCCAGGTTCAAGCGATTCTCCTGCCTCAGCCTCCAGTAGCTGGGATTACAGGCGCCTGCCACCACACCCAGCTAAATTTTTGTTTATTTTTGGTAGAGATGGGGTTTCATCATGTTGACCAGGCTGGTCCCAAACTCCTGACCTCAGGTGATCTGCCCACCTTGGCCTCCCAAAGTGCTGATATTACAGGCAGGAGCCACTGTGCCCAGCCGATTTGTGCTATTTCATAAAATGCATTGCTCTTAAAAGAATTTGCCTTGTGGTCAGTGTTTTAAAGATAAATTTTCTTGGTGGGTGCAGTGGCTCATGCCTGTAATCAAAGCACTTTGGGAGGCCAAGGTGGGAGGATCACTTGAAGCCAGGAGTTTGAGACCAGCCTGGGAAACAAAGTGAAACCCTATTGCTACAAAATAATTTAAAAATTTTTTTAAATTAGCAAAACGATTTTTAAAAAATTAGCTGGGTGTGATGGCACGAAGCTGTAATTCCGGCTACTCCAGAGGCTGAGGTGGGAGGATTGCTTGAGGCCAGGAGTCTGAGGCTGCAGTGAGCTATGATCACACCACTGCCCTCCAGCCTGGGCAGTGGAGGGAGACTCTCTCCAAAAAGAAAAAACCCAAAAAACTCTTCTTTAAAAATGTTGAAAAATCATGATGAGTTAATTAAGGTCATTTTAGTACGTGATATCCAGTAAATATATTTGTAATTATAGTACTGAAGTATTGGGTAATTAAAAATTAATTCCTAAATCATAATCCTAAGATCTAATCTAATTTATTAAAGCTAACTTTTATTTTTCCTATAGAGAAAGGACTCTCTCTGATTTTGTTTGGTTTGACACAAGAAGAGTTTTTAAACAGACTCATGATCCATGGAAGTGCCAGCACTGTGGACATTCTTTGTCATCTCAATGGCTGGGGGAGGTGCTCCATTCCCATACATGCACTAGAGGTAACAGAATCAAATGCCAGTAGAACATTACTTAATTATTTTGTGTTATATGCTTTTATTCGATTTAGGATTTGAGAGAATTCATTTAATTTAGCAACAAAAAGAACTATGGCCTTTGCATATCTATTTAAACAGTTCTGGCTGTTTCAGTACCCTAACTCAACTTTTTGGCTTTATACGATACAAGATTATAGTAGATGGTAAGAAAAAGGTACAGGAAATGGAGGCAACATTAAGTTAATGAGACTAAATGAAGTGGAAATAAGTTGTGGAAAGCTTGAACAGTAATGATCTTTTATTCCTACCTTATGCTTCCTACTTTTTTTTTTTTTTTTTTTGACACAGGGTCTCACTCTGTTGCCCAGGCTGGAGTGCAGTAGTACAATCTAGACTCACTGCAACCTCCGCCTCCCTGGTTCAAGTGATTCTCCCACCTCAGCCTCCCCAGTAGCTAGGACTGCAGGCACACATCACCATGCCCAGCTAATTTTTGTATTTTTTGGTAGAGGCAGGGTTTTGCCTTGTTGGCCATGGCTCGAACTCCTAATTTCAAGTGATTCGCTCGCTGTGTCCCAGAGTGCTGGAATAAGAGAAGTGAGCCACTGCACGCGGCCTGCTTCCTACTATTCTAATCCAACTTCAGAAGAGACATAACCTGAATTTATGTAGCATTTTATAATTCACAAACACTCTTTTACATGCAATATCTAATTTTGTCCCAAAATAACCACATGAGACAGATTGGGTAGTTTATATTATTTTTATTTTGCAGATGAAGAAACTTAGGCTCTCAGTGGTTGAGTGGGTGACCCAGAGCCATATTAATGAAGACAGGAGCTAGAATCAAGGGCAGGGTACCTTTTGCTATACCACACAGTCCCTGAAGTTAATAATGTTATGTGCCAATTTCTTTAAATGACAGCTTTATTGAGATATAATCACATACCCATAAAATTCACCCTTTTCAAGTGTACAACTCAATGGCCTTTGGTATATTCAGAGTTGTGCAGCCATCATCACTAATTCAGAACATTTTCATCACCTCAAAAAGAAACTCCATAACCATTAGTGGCCACTCCCTATTTCCTGTTGTCTCCACGTCTTAAACACCAATCTACTTTCTGACTAGATTTTTCTATTCTGGACATTTCATGTAAATGGAATTATAAAATATGTGACCTTTGTGACTGGCATGTTTGACCTAGCATGTTTTCAAAGTTCATGTTGTAGCATGCGTCACTATAACTTCATTCATTTTTATGGCTGAATATTCCATTTTATCAATATATACTGCTTTTTCTTTATCCATTCATCAGCTGATGGACATTTGGGTTGTCTCCACTTTCTGGCCATTATGAATAATCCTGCTATGGACATTTGTGTACAAGCTTTTGTGTTGACATATGTCTTCATTTCTCTTGGGTATATACCTAGCTGTGGAATTACTGGGTCATTTATTATTTTTGGGGAATCCCCAAACTCTTTTCCACAGTTAATGCACCATTTTACATTCCCATCAGCAATATATGAGGGTTCTGCTAGCTGCACATCTTAGCTAACACTTGTTGTCTGTTTTTTATTCTAGCCATCCTAGTCAGTGTGAACTCAAAATGAAATGGCATCTCATTGTGGTTTTCATTGTTTTTTAATAATGACTAAACATGTTGAACATGTTTTCATATGCTTATTGGCTATTTGTGTGTCTTCTTTGGAGAAATGTCTATTGAATTACTTTGCCCCTTTTTAGAATTAGGTTGTCTTTTTATTGAGTTCTGAGAGTTCTTTATATATTCTGGATGCTAGACCCTATGACATACATGATTTACAAATACTTTCTCCCATTCTTTGAGTTGTTATTTCACCTTCTTTTTAAATTTTTTTTAACTTTTATTTTAGGTTCGGGGTACATTTGCAGGTTTGTCACATAGGTAAATTGCATATCATGGAGGTTTGGTGTACAGGTTATTTCATCACTCAGGTAATAAGCATAGTACCTGATAGGTAGTTTTCAATCCTCACCTTCCTCCTACCCTCCACCCTCAAGTAAGCCCCAGTGTCTGTTGTTCACTTCTTTTTGTTCGTGTGTACTATGTTTAGCTCCCACTTATAAGTGAGAACACCCAGTATCTGATTTTCTGTTCCTGCATTAATTCACTTAGGATAATGGCCTCTAGCTCCATCCATGTTGCTGCAAAGGACATGACCTTGTTCTTTTTTTATGACTGCATAGTATTCCGTGGTGTATATGTATCACAAATTCTTTATCCAATTGATATGGTTTGACTCTGTGTCCCCAGCCAAATCTCATCTTGAATTGTAATCCCTATGTGTCAAGGGAGGGAGGTGATTGGATCATGGGAGCAGTTTCCCCCATGCTGTTCTCGTGATAGTGAGTTCTCAAGAGATCTGATAGTTTAAAAGTGGCAGTTTTCCCCTGTGCTCTCTCTCCTGCTGCCATGTAAGACATGCCTTGCTTCCCCTTCACGTTCCACTATGATTGTAAGTTTCCTGAGGCCTCCTGGCCATGCAGAACTGTGAGTCAATTAAACCTCTCTTCTCAGGTAGTATATTTACAGCTGTGTGAGAACAGACTAATATACCAGTGTGCCAACCTAAATGCCAATCATGGGCATTTAGGTTGATTCCATGTCTTTGCCATTGTCAATAGTGCTGTGAGGAATATATTTGTGCATGTATCTTTATGGTAGAATGATTTATATTCCTTTGGTTATATACCCAATAATGGGATTGCTGGGTTGAATGATAGTTCTGCTTTAACTATCTTCTTTGAGAAATCGCCAAACTGCTTTCCACAATGGCTGAGCTAATTTACATTCCCACCAGCAGTGTGTAAGCTTTCCCTTTTCTCTGCAACCTCACTAGCACCTGTTATTTTTTGGCTTTTTAGTAATAGCCATTCTGACTGGTGTGAGATGGTATCTCATTGTGGTTTTGATTTGCATTTCTCTAATGATAAGTGATACTGAGCATTTTTTCATATGCTTGTTGGTCATGTGTATGTCTTCTTTTGAAAAGTGTGTGTTCATGTCCTTTGCCTACTTTTTAATGTGGTTATTTTTTGCTTGTTAATTTAAGTTCCTTATAGATTCTGGATATTAGGCCTTTTTGTCAGATGCATGGTTTGCAAATATTTGGTCTTATTCTCTAGGTGGTCTGTTTACTCTATTGATAATTTATTTTGCTCTGCAGAAGCTCTTTAGTTTAATTAGGTCCCATTTGTCAATTTTTGGTTTTTGTTGCAATTGCTTTTGGCATCTTTGTCATGAAATCTTTGCCAGAGCCTATGTCCAGAATGGTATTTTCTAGGTTATCTTCCAGGGTTTTTAAAGTTTTAGGTTTTACTTTTAAGTATTTAATCAAACTTGAGTTGATTTTTGTTTATGGTATAAGAAAGGGGTTCAGTTTCAATCATGTGCATATGGCTAACCATTTATCCCAGCACATTAATTGAATAGGGAGTTTGGGCATTTTAACAATATTGATTCTTCCTATCCATGAGCATGGGATGTTTTTCCATTTGTTTGTGTCATCTCTAATTTCTTTCAGCATTGTTCTGTAATTCTCATTGTAGAGACTTTTCATCTAACTGTATTTCTAGGTATTTTATTCTTTCTGTGACTTTTGTGAATGGGATTGCATTCTTTATTAGGCTCCCAACTTGGACATTGTTGGTGTATAGAAATGCTGCTGATTTTTTTTACATTGATTTTGTATCCTGAAATTTTGCTAAAGTTGTTTATCAGATCTAGGAGCTTTTGAACAGAGACTATGGGGGTGTTCTAGGTATAGAATCATGTCAGCTGCAAACAGAGATAGTTTTACTTCCTCTCTTCCTATTTGGATGCCTTATATTTCTTTCTCTTGCCTGATCTGGTAGGACATCTAGTACTATGTTGAATAGGAGTGGTGAGAGTAGACATTTTTGTCTTGTTGTGGTTCTCATGGGGAATGCTTCCAGCTTTTGCCCATTCAGTATGATGTTGGCTAAGGGTTTTTCATAAATGGCTTTTGATATTTTGAGATATGTTTCTTCAATGCCTAGTCTATTGAGGGTTTTTAACATGAAGGGATGTTGAAGGGAGGATTACTTGAGGAGCAAGCAATGGTTTTTGTTTTTACTTCTGTTTATGTGATGAATCACATTTATTGATTGCATATGTTGAAGCAGTCTTGCATACCAGGGATAAAGCCTACTTGATTCTGTTGGATTAGCTTTTTGATGTATTGCTGGATTCAGTTTGCTAGTATTTTGTGGAGAATTTTTATATCTATATTCATTAAGGATATTGGCCTGGTTTTCTCTTTTTGTTATGTCTCTGTTTTGGTATTAGAATGATGCTGGCGTCATAGAATGAGTTGGGGAGGAGTTCCTCCTCAGTTTTTTGGGCTTTTCACCTTCTAGATGGTGTCCTTTGAAACACAAAAGTGTTTCATTCTTATGAAATCAATGTATCTTTTTTGGGGGGAAGAAGGGGTCATTTTTGCTTTTGGTGTTGAATCTAAGAAACCATTGCCTAATCTGAGATGGTGCAGATTTACTCTTAAAAGGGTTTTATAGTTTTAGCTCTTACAGTTAGGTTTATTATGCACTTTAAGTTCAATTTCTTATATGGTATGAAGGAAGAGTCCACCTTCATTCTTTTGCATTCTTTTTTTCTTTTTTTTTTTTGAGACGGAGTCTCGCTCTATCGCCCAGGCTGGAGTACAGTGGCGCGATCTCGGCTCACTGCAAGCTCCGCTTCCTGGGTTCAAGCGATTCTTTTGCCTCAGCCTCCCAAGTAGCTGGGACTACAGGTGCCCGCCACCACGCCCGGCTAATTTTTGTTTTTTTAGTAGAGACAGGGTTTCACCATGTTAGCCAGGATGGTCTCGATCTCCTGACCTTGTGATCCACCCAGCTCTGCCTCCCAAAGTGCTGGGATTACAGGCGTGAACCACCGCGCCCGGCCTCTTTTGCATTCTTTTGTGGCTCTTCAGTT